AGAGCTTCTAAAGCATCGAGATAGGTGTCAAAATGGCCTACTGGAGCTCTATAGCATACTAAAACATTTAAGTTAAGGTTTTTTATATAGATTCCACACAATTCACAGCACTTCTCTATGTTGTAGTCGACCACAAAGCCAATAGGATCAGTTTGCAGTGTATTCTTTGTAAGCACAAGCGTACCACCCCCCACACTTTCCTTTCGACATGAGAAGGCAGCGACTTTGTATCCTTCGAAATGTAGATGTTGGATTTCATCCTCTTCCATCCAGTGTTCAGTTATGCATATAATATTTTTGTTTTTGTCTGCCAGAAAAGCTTCTAGCTGTCCGACCTTGTTGCGTAGGGACCTGGTGTTTATGTGTAAGATGCTTATGTGGCAGCTGGAGATGTTGCTGGAAGAACAACATGGCTCTTTGTTGACACCATTTGACGGTTCTGTAAGTTTAGAAAATGGTTAATTACAACCCCTTTTGGCCAGAGTTCAGCATTTAGGTATTTTTCCCTTTTGTCAAAGGGCACCATTAATTTAAAAGAGCTACGATATTTCTCTTTCTTAGTTATCATTTTTTGGCATGAGCTTTCCACTTCTAGATTTTTTGTTTTAAGGAATTTCATAATTTCTTCTGACTGTATTTCCGGGGCAAGTCCCGAGAGAAAAAGAAATGACATTTTAGTTGCTGCTTTTAATTCACCTTCCTCGTTGCATCCTCTCATTGGTTCTGGTCTATTTGCTATTTTGTTTGTTTTTTTGCCCTTTTTAACTACTTCTGCCCAGTCATCCGCCATTTTATTTTTATTTGACAACGGTAGTTCTGATGAACCATCCGTGAGTTTGGATTTCACAATGTTGGTAACAGTGCTTTCTTGTTTGTTTTCCTTTTCAGTAGGTTTGGTGGTTTTAGTGTTGGTAACATTTCTTTCTTGTTTGTTTACCTTTTCGATATGATTTTTCGCTGGGGAAGAAGAAGAAGAGGGATTTATTTGGTTTTCCCTGTTCTTTTTTTCTTCTTTTCTTGTATTTTTTTCCAAGTTTTCCACTTTCTCTCTTAACAAGTCACAATTTTCATTTAGAATCTTGTTTTTTTCCTCTAGTTCTTGAATAATTCTGGTCAGCAGACCGATTTCTTTTTCATGCATTTTCTTCTCCATGTGGCTGATTCCAACCTCACTTTCAGCGTCTTCTGGTATATGCTGGCATTCAGCGCTTCTTGCTGCTGCAGACTGCCTCATACAAGCAGGATGAAACAGTTCGCGACACTTAACACACTTTACGGAATTAATTACACTTTTCTTACAGTGTTTACACAGTTTAGTTATCGACTCGACATCACCATCGACCGGAGCCGTCGGCGCCATCTTTAATAAAGGTAGGGCCAAAGTACCAAAAAAAGCGTTGTATCGCTTTTTGAACTCGATTTTTTTTTAACGCAGCACTATTACTATATCTCACAATAGTGTTAATGTTAATAGTAATGTTAATGTTAATACCCAAAGCATAGAAATATGCGTGTATCCGTTCACAATGATGGTAATGTTGATGGTTACGTTGATACACGCATTTGTCTATGCTATATAAACATTACCATTAACATTAACACTATTGTGACAAAGGCATTAGGAAAGTTGATTAGCTTGAAAAAAAACTACAAAATTTATTTAAACTTTTTTTTCCTACGATAAACCGTTTCGGAGTTTCGGAGCACAACGTGTTTTTGGTGAAAACTCAAAAAGTTTTGGATTTAATTTTTTTCAAAATCGGTTAGTTTAAGAAAAAAATTTTGTCAACAAAAAATGTAGGGTGCATTGTTCCCTACAATTTATGTCATTGGGTCGATGCTCTAGGACAGAAAATTGAAAAAGTAGGTAGCGCTAAAGTACACAAAAAAGCGTTTTATCGCGTTTTGACCCCGAATAAATTTTTTTAACGCAGGACTGTTATTACGAAAGTTGTTTATCTAAAAAAAACACATAAAATTTATATACACTTTTTTTTCCTACGATGGACCGTTTCGGAGTTATATCAGCCTTCCGAATTTTCTCAATTATTTCTTAAAAAACCCCTGTGGGGCACGTGTTCCCTTTGACCGAATGACCTACAATTTTGCAGGAATTTTTTTTTTATGATTTGGAACCGATTTGGGGGGCGGCTCTGTTAAATTTTTTCCGACCCCTAAATAAGGAACACCCTAATATATATATATATATATATATATATATCTCGGAAAGATCTCGGAAAACCAACAATATATATATATATATATATATATATATATATTGTTGGTTTTCCGAGATCTGCTCCGTGTTTTCGGTTTTTGGTTCTTAAATGAACCGTATGTTTTATTCCTGGCGATATTAGGGATGTATCTCTGGTCGTTGTATATGAAATACGTGTTCTTGAGTCAGTGTTTGGTTAGCTCTGCGATGTCATTACTGATTGGGTGTTTTCTTTAAATTGTCTCCAAGGCTTCGCTGAATGAAATATTCGTAAAAAGAGATACGACATCGAAGCTGACGAGCATATCGCCTAGTTCCAGTTTCATGTCCTTTATGCGCTCGATGAAGTTGTTGGCGTTTTTTACGTAAGATTCCGCTTCCTTTACGAAAGGCTTCAGCTGCTTAGCCAGAAATATTGCGAGCTCTTATAGCGGTGAGCCTATTGAACTGACGATAGGTCTTAGTGGTGTTCCTTTCTTGTGTATCTTTGGAAGGCCGTATAGCTTTGGGCGACTTTTATCTTGGAATAAGCCTTTGTTGTTTATCCTTGTTGATTCGACTAGCCTTGATCTTGGCCTTGGTTGTCTCCTCCAGGTACGTAGTCGGATCGGTGGATATTTTTTGGTATGTGCCTTCTTTGAGTAGTGTTTCTATTTTGGCATGGTATTCTTGGATGCCCATTACTATTGTAGCGTTGCCTTTGTCTACTGGGAGGATGATGATGTCCTTGTTTTCTTTCAGTTTCTTTAGGGCAAAATGTACTTCTCGTGAAAGATTCCTTTTTGGTGCTTTGGCACTTCTCAAGTAGGCTGTAGTGGTCATGCAGTTAAGGTAATTTTACTTATCAGGTTTATGCCCATTTTAAATTCAGGTGCTATGAAACCGTTTGGCAGGTGCGATGAAGTTTGCCTTGGCCTCGACCGCCCACTGTTTGCACGCATATGGTTGATAATCTGAGGCTTAATCTAGGTGAGGATGCCACTAGCACTATTAACACCCTTTTTTTTAAATTAATTCTGGTAGACCATGAGTATATTGGTTGTCACTATTGAAAAGTACCAGCGACCTTAAACGTGCCTAGACAAACGACCGACCGAGTAAAGCTCAAGGTAATTTTTTATTCTTTTATGTTATGTATCAAAATAAATACAAATAAAAAATATTTCATTTAAAGCCTTGCAATCTACCCTATATATGTACAAAATTTTAGCAGTCTTTTTCTATAGGTATATAAAAAGAATTTTGATTAACTTTATTTCATTTAGGAAAAATGTTCAATGCCATAAGGCATAAGCCTATGTACATTTAAAAAATATGAAACTTTGTCGATCACTTTTTTAAGCGAAAGTTACTAAAGCATAATTAAGGCATGTGTAGTATACACCCTTTATTATGTAATCTCAAAATCCCAAAAAATGGCACGTACCCGCCTCAATTAGTGATCGTGGATAATAATTTATTTATTATAAGTTTTTTATTGCAAATGAATTTTATATTAATGGCAAAGAAAGTTTGTGTTTAAATTTTATAACATTCTCTAATTAATTTACGAAGTTATCGCGAGTTAAGTTTAAAAAAATTTATATTTTCTTAATTTTAAATTTTGTATCTCAAATATGGAAAAAAATACACCACACTATGATGGGAAAAAAGTATAATGTAAAGTTTTTAAAATTTGATTTTTGACAATTTTTAATTGCATAGTTCTGCGTACGGTAACGCCCATTATGTTGCCTACTGTACAAAAGCAAGATACATACACCTTAAGATAGAATGGTGCGCATGTTGGGCGGGGCTTAATGACGTCACTTGATAAGTGTTTTTAAATCTTTAACGTGCTTTTTAATTAACTACTGCTAAAATTCTTGTTTTTGCGATGCTTTTGGATGTTAACTTGCTCTACTTTTTGTTTAACTTGTCTTTTTGTGTTCGGTAAGGTTCGAACTACTTTTCAGCGTTCAAATTATTGTTATTGCGTTAGGTTAACCTGTTAGGTTTGTTTATTATTGTTTTTGTGTTGCGTTAACTTGTTTTGTTTGTGTTTTAGATTGTATAGTGCCATTTGCATTTATTAAAATGCGGTGTGGCATATTTGGATGCAATTCGGACAACCAGTCCAAGAAAAACCCTTTAAATAAAAACATTAAATTTAATCGATTCCCGAAAAAGTTTGATTTGTGGAAACAGTGTTTAAATGCCACAAAAATAATAGACAATATTTACGTTAAGACCGCTTTTGTTTTTTATAAACATTTTCTGGACAGTGACTATAAGTTTAATTTAAAACACCAACGCTTAAACTACAGCCCTAAATGTTATCAAGGACTGAAAGCATTTATAATCCATATTATAACACTTTCTTCAATATAAAGTTTAATAAAAACGCACTATGTCCAGAAATTTCTCTATTTTCTTTGATAATATTACTATTATTTGTGTATTCGCACGGCAACTACTCATCAAGTGACGTCATGCGCGGGACGAACCAAAACTCGTACACGGGAGCATCCAGCCCTGGTACAAAAGCGTTTGAAGGCCAAGCTGGTTGTGCTTTCCGGGTCGTCAATTATTATTAACATTATTATAAAGTATTATGAGCCCATTAAAAAATCTACTGTTTACTGTTTAAGTACCTAACTATGTTTTACTTTTTTATCATATTTTAGGAGAGCATATTTGGTTAGTTCTTGATGGACCAGTTGATAGTATATGGATCGAAAATTTAAATTCTGTTTTGGATGATAACAAAACCCTTACTTTAGCAAATGGAGATCGATTATCCATGGCCCCCACCTGTAAGATTTTATTTGAGCCCCATAATATTGATAATGCATCACCAGCTACCGTATCCAGAAATGGCATGGTTTATATGAGCTCATCAGGTTTAGATTGGAGACCAGTTGTTCAAGCTTGGCTTAAGAAAAGAAACTCTAGGGAATGTGATGTATTTAAACATTTATTTGATGAATCTTTTGCCGAATTATACGCTTGGGGAACCCAAATGCTTGTTTTAGTTATAAATGTGCTACAATGTAATATTACTTTACAGATATTAAGTATATTGGAAGGTAACTACTTTTATTTATATTGATTTATTTATGTTTATGAAAGTTGTATAGAAAGCAATTCTATGCCATGTTACTTTCAGCTAAACGACAATGCCGGTCAAGGACCTTGTAAAGATAAAAAGATAAACCTTTTACGGTAACAAATGACGTAATATAAAAAAGTAGACTATGTGTGTTCGATTTGAACCGCAGACTTCTTGGTTGCAAACTGCTCCACAAAGCGATACTTATATGAAACGGTTTTGCGGTAGCTATGAAAAAAACGCAATTTAAACTGAAAAATTTAACAGTTTAATTTTTTTTGTTCAAATGTAAATGATTAGGTTAATTTTATCTAAATACGAATAAATGTCCACGTCACCCGGGAGGTATTATTCTGCAACGCGTTGACTTTTCATAAAATGGAGGTCATCGAATAGCCCTACAAAACCATTATAAATTAAAAAAATAAACTGTAAACAACAAAACAAATAAAATATAAAAGAAATCTTAACCCAAATCTCGAAACTCAAAAACATAAATTCGAATTTTTAAATATGTTCTTTGGAACCTTGCTTTGCCATGTGCTTTAAACGCCTGTACATTTTTTTTAAACAGAATCTCTTAACTCTATTTGCCAAGGCCAACAGAATAAGCTTTGTTTATAAATACTTCTGCATAGCCACTCATAAGTTTTGTGCCAAGATATTTGGAAAATTCGTGAATATTGCTTACCCAGCCTTTTATCGTTAAATATTGATTACATTTTTGTCGTCGGTAGACATTTTTCAGTTCTTAAAAAATACGTTTTAAATATTAGGAAAATAATGTCACGAACAGGAACGAACAGGACTTAAAAAATCACGAAAATTTAACTACAAATAAACAATCAATATATTTTAAAAATCTTACCTTAATTAAAACTCAATACAACTTGTTGCTTAATAAAAATTGCTAATTCTAACTTACCTGTGTAGCGTGTGTGCATCACAATAATAAAATAAGAAATTTTACTTATCAAGACAAAAACTATAAAAGATCAGCCAAAAGTTTTAAATAATTTAATCTGTATCAAAATAAAATCATCCGCTCTACACACACTGCGACACAAACTACCATCCACTTCATCTTCAGTCATGTGATTCCAATTCTCCTGCCTTAGGCAGCGACAGATAGACGCGAACTCGCCTGATATATTAGTAAGTAAATAGTTTACGCTCTATGATAAGTAGGAGCTTCCCAAGCTACGCATATTCCACCTCTGTCCCGTCGACTCTCAACTGAGTAGGGGGTTGACGCGGTTTGCGCTTGGATTTTTATTTACTATTTATAGTAGATTGATTGATTTTTTTACTTTTTATTATGTAGAACTGTTGTAAAAGTAGACTTGTAATGAGTAAAAAGCTTAATACAAAAGGTAGCTCGTTCCTTCATTTTTAAGGTAAGGGGCAGCCTCCATTGAGCTCTTTTAAATTACGTATCCATAATTATTTATTTATAAAGTCAACTCAGAAGATTTTACATAAGAGTTCTAAAAATTAAACTTAAAGCCGACAACATATCATATTAAATAAAACCCATTTTATAAAGAAAAAACTGATATCTTTAAGCAGAAATTAATTTTTTTGAGAAATGTGACATTTTCCAGCCGTACTGTTAGTATTTAAAAATAAAAAAATAAAAAACATATACACATAAAATGCTATCTATCTACATTGTTTATAATAAATAAATAACATTCAAAGAAAAATATACTCAATGAAAAACATTGGTAATGAAAACACCTTATTTAAATTATAGACTTAGAGAGTCCTCTCCATTCCCTGATAAATCTGACAAATAGCTCTTTCTTATTTGAATTTTTATTTACAAGAATGAAAAATAGTTTTAAAATAAAATTATAATGTAAACAGGTTAATTTTTAGTAAATTTATACTACCTAAGTAAACATAAGTACTAAAATAATTTTTATTTTCTTTATTTTTAATATGATTAATTATAAAAGGAAACATCATTATTCATTTCGTAAAAGTCTATTAAACGTATTTTTTCTGTCCATTTTTGGTATTTGGTATATCAGTAAAAAAAATACATATTTATAATTTTAGGTTTGGTTCCTTCTCAACCAGAAACGAGTGATGATATTTTAACAATTAAATCTGATGTTGGAGATAATGATGAGGATATGGGAGAGGAAATAGAAAACCTGGAAGAAAAAAAAATATTTACCAGCGAACATTTAAAAAAATTATATGTTTTTGCTCTTGTATGGGGGATGGGTGCCTTTTTGGAAAATAATGATAGAAAAAAATTTGACACTTTTATAAAAGAAAAATTAAAATTTCTAGATATTCCAATGGGCGATAGAAAAAATCCAGATGTATGTATTTAGTTTAAAACAAAAATATATTATATTTTTATAGCTAAATACTGGTAGAAGGCAGTTGATCTTCGAATAGGAAATTCTATTGTTTCCATAACAATAGATACCTATTAGTAAACAATGGTCATTGTTTCTATTGTTAAAGTGTTTTATGTATTTTTAATTTTAAAAAGCTCAGCATATCTTAGGACGTGAGAGTCATGTGTTATATTGTTAAAAGTAATTAAAAATTTTAAAAAAGAAAAATAAGCGGAAATGTTAACAAAGGTTTTTTATTATTATGGGACACGTACACGTGAAGCTAGCTGACAAGACTGGATTTGTTTTATTTAAATCTAAATTATATTTTAATTTATTTTCAAAACATTTGGTAGTTAGTCATAAAAACGCATCTAGCAAAAGAAAAGGTTTCTATTCGTATAATACTTTTAAAACCGCTTAAATGCAGTTTTCAGGTAGGTATGCGGATTAACAAAAGCAACAGTGTAGGCACATAAAAAATATTTTTCGGGGATATACATATTTGATATATACGTATTTTAAAATAGCCAATGAATATAAATTTACCGAAGGAGGTATTTTGAAAGAATAAAATACATGTCCTACTTTCCTAAAATAAAAACAGGTATTAGTCAGTCTTTTTAAAACATTTAGTAGTTAAACATAAAAATAAATTTATCTTTTAAGCATCCATTCTGCGCTCTTGTGGCCCGACATATTGCGGGAAGACAGTATTTAGTAGTATATATATATATAGTATATTAGTATTAAATGTTTTGTAATTACTTAGACAAAAATTTTGTTTAAAAATAGGATGTTTTTAAATTAATTAATAATTATTTTTTTTAAAGCAAATTTACCTATAAAAGAGAAGGAAGGGGGAAATATAATAATTAAATATATTTTACGTTTTTTAAATAAATCATTTGTATTAAAATGTCTGAAATTGTTTATCTCAGATTGAGAGGGGTGTACCGAAACATTGTTCCGTAATAAAAACCCTTATTTGGGATATTACGATTAAATATATCATAAAGGAAAAGCAGTTTAAGTAGTAATAAGAGCGGGTTTCAGCGCCAAAGTCGATGGCATGTGTTACCTTTCAGGAATTTCAGTGCCGAAGAAGTGTTTTTCAGGATGTCTTCGGCTAAAATTTAGGAATTTAAGTGCCTAAGAGTTGCTTTTCAGGATGTCTTCGGCTGAAATTCAGTAATGGATAAGAAGAACCTTTAGAGGTCCTTGTTTATCTCTAAGATCTTTAAGTTGGTACAACTGTCCAACTAGATTTACATATGATGGTGGTAACTAAATTATAATTAGTTTAAAAAGTGTACGCTTGTCTAGCCTAGCCTAGCCTGTATAGGTATAGGGGGGAAGGGTTGGTTAGGAAAATATACACACAATTTAAATTAAATTATTTTTTTTATTTAAAAATTATTTTACATTTTTTTATTTAAATAATCATTAAACTTTTAAGCAACATTTTTTTATCTATCCATGTGTTTTGCTTATCACTAAAGCCCAACCATTTGACGAATACTTTATTTTTTAGTCTTTTTAATACTTTTTCCACCAGATAAACATCAGGATGTTTAACTTTTTGTAATTGTTCTTTATAGAAACCACCCAATACATTTTAACCGTTTGTATCTTGAAGCAAATAGGTAGCTGGATTGGTGTACTGCACTTTTTTTATTACAAAAATTTCTGTTGACCAATTTGGCATGTATTGTTTGTCAAAGACTCCTCTAATTTTTGAAATGCGCACATGATGACCAACATGAAATTTCACTATAGGCTGTTTTTAAAATGTCGTTTGCATTTTTCTCACTCACATCTATCGGTTTCATATGAATGGTTCTATGTTTGGTATTATTGTATTTGGAAACAATTTGCGGTAGCAAGTTGAGCCATTTGTAGTTTCCTTGAACGTTAAACTCTTTCCACATTAGATTTTTTAACGTTCTATTGACTCGTTCAACAATGGAAGCCTTTTTCTCGCTATACGTACTGTAATGATCGACTTTATATTTTTGAATAAGTTTTTTAAATTCTTCGTTGTAGAATTCTTTTCCCAAATCGGTTTGAATATTTTGTGGAACTTGTTCTTTAAAAACCTTCTCCATTGCTTTGCAAACTTCTACAGCACTTTTATTTTTTAAAGGATATGCCCACACATATTTGGAAAAACAAAATATACTTGTAACCATTATTTATTTTCGAATAGGGTATCATTTCCACCAGGTCTGCTTGAAATAGATCCTTAAATGATTTTATGATGACTCTACGTCTTTCAAAATTAATTCTAGCTGGTTTATGAAGTTCTTCAACTACATCTCTCTTAACATCAGTGACAAATTTGTTGTTACTTTGTTGTTTTTGTTTCATATTTATGCTATAACTTTAAGCTCTCTCAGTTCTTTAACAATTGACACTGTTTCCTTATCATGTGCTGTGTGTCCTGCTTGCTGTTATGCAATTAATTCACGCAGTCTCTCTACCAACTCGTTTGGATCATCGAAATAAACATAATCGATTTTATTTTTGGTTGCTTTTAAAGCCAAAATGTTTCGATATTTTTTTGAATTATCTTCTACAATGTTCTGATTAGCCTTATAAAATCGTCGGTTTGCATTTGTTTTTAACACAATATTTTGATATACCTTTTCATACTCTTCTGTAAATCCTTTCGGCTCCCTTTTAAAGAGTTATTCATACAGTCCACGAGTTCCTTTGTATTTTTTATTTTTAACCACAAAATCTGAACCATCTATTATTAATTGAGAATCTCCAATGTAAAATTTTTTTAGTGCATTTATGATCAAACTGATTTTCATTATCTTCATACATTTTATTCACATATTTTCTTGGTAATGTCTCCTCATATTGACTAAGATAATTATCAATAATCAATAAAACTTTTTTCTCTCTTTCTTCTCTAATCGATTTTTGAAAGATTCTTTGTTTTTCATCACCATCTTCTTCATCATTAATTTTAATTTTAATGAACTGACATCATCTTCTTTATTCAAAAACATTGACGACATAAACGATAGAGATGATGCAACCTCAGCTCTTTTTTTTTTAATTTTTGCTGGTGATTGGTGTTGAGGATTCCATCAATAATAATTATATGGTATCATAGCCATGTTGTTGACTTCCTGTTTCATATTTTGTGGTTTAACTTTTTTATCATATTTTATTAATAAGGGTGACGACTGAGGAGATACCTTCGTTGGGGGTTTAGTTGTAGTTGTTTGTAGCTCACTTTGAATACTTTTTAACTGTTTTGTAATAGGAAATAATATTTGTTCTTGTACATTTTCTCCCTGTTTTAGTAGTTTGAATTTCTCTTTAATGTTTTTACGTTTTTCAATCAATCTTTTCTTAAGATTTTTTGCTTGCAAATTCATTATAATACAGACACATACATTCAATAAGCAAGAACACCAAAACATGAATGAGATAAAGTATGAGGTTATTCAAGGTTTATATAATGATCAAACCCCATTCTATAACGTACTTACTTTGTTTATTTTATCATCCTTAAAAATGGTAAGGAATCCATATGGAAGTTTCCAACAGTATGAACAAATATTTTTGAAATTTTCAAACGACATATCACTTCCAACATGATCGTTATAGACGTGTTTTAAATTTAATTCATCCTGTTTAAATGAAACCATCACGTTAGCATTATCTCGAATCAAATGTTTGGGAATTTTAGCGTAGGTTTGGCATAAATAAAACGAGTCGATATGGTTATGCCGACCCATGCTGAAATATTCTCGAATAACCTCCTGGTTATCGCATGCTACATCATCAAAAATAAATATAGAGTTGGGTTTGGCTTCAGAAGGGTGAGCGATACTCTCACTAACATTAAACGCATAATAGTTGATTCCCTTTATTGGTCGTAACAATTCAGCTAGATAGGTGTATTTTGGTTGATAGAGCGACCGTGAATAAACGTACACATTTTCAAATTTTAATCCATTCTCATGTTCAATAAGGAAAATCATTACGTTAGTTTTTCCACAGTTTGAAGGACCAACAACAAGACACCGTATAGTGGATGGAAATAGTTTACCATGTGTCCTTCAACCATCATCATTGTTTTCAACGTTTAAACATTTTCATTTTACACACAAGAACGATTAACTCGTGGAGATAAAGGTGTTAATGGGTTGGATGAATGTTGTCGAAAACATGACATTCAATATTCGTTAAACAAAGATTTAAAGTTGCGTCATGATGCTGATATAATATTATCCGATGAATCGATGAGTCGATTTAGATCTAAAGACGCATCGTTTGGTGAAAGACTTGCCTCTCTAGCTGTGGCAGAAGATATGAAAACAAAATTGAAACTTGGTATGGGAATGAAAATGTGTTAACCAATTGACAAAAACAAAACGTTTGATTCAAAATGTGTTAAGTGAAGTGGAAAAATGTGTGAGTGTGTTGTTATCAAAAAATCAAATCTGCAGAGGTATGAATAAAAAAATAAAAAAAGCTAAAACCCCACCGGCGCGCCGGTAGTGGTTATTGATGATCTGGATAAACTGGAAGACAAGGAAAATATTCCAGAAATGCACCGTAGGCGTAATCGTTGTCGTAAAGTGTTTGCTGCTGCTGCTGTAAAAAGACAACGAAAAAGAAAAGCATCAAAAGTTGAGGTTCAAAGTAGTAATAATTTGAGTGAAATTAAAAAACCTAAAATTGATCTAAATGAACCGCTTATTTATCCTATAAAAAAAAATAATTATGGTATAGATTCTTTGGGAAATTTTATGCTCTATAAGAATCTGCGACGTAAAAATTTTTATCTCAAACGGTTCAAAAGTTATTGTCTTTTTTTACGTGTTATTTCAATGGAAAACTTACCGACACCTTTTAAAATTGAGCAAAAAATTTTGCCTTGCAGGGAAATTTTTTGCTCGGTATGTAGGTTCATTTTAACCCATAAATCCGATAGGTTAGTTTTTTTGGCTCACCCTAATATCCAG